GGTTGAGGTTGTGTAGGGGGGCTTTGGGCATTACTGAGGGGATGGATATTTTTTTGGGAGGGATTGATCCTTGCTGAGGGGTTGGGGGTGCCCGAGGGAGACTTTGGCCATTGCTGAGGGCCTTGGGGGTGCTTGAGGGGGGCTGTGACCCCCGATAAGAGATGGAGGTAAGAGACGGAGGGTGTCTGGGCGGCCTCTGGCCATTGCTGAGGGGCTGGAGATCTTTTGGGGGATGTGTGATCCTAGCTGGGGGCCTGGGGGTGTTCCAGGGGAGCTTTGACCCTCACTAAGGGCTTGGGGGTGCTTAGGAGGGGGGCTTTGGGCATTGTTGAGGGGCTGGAAATCTTTGCGGGGAGGTGTTGATGCTTGCTGAGGGGCTGGGGAGTGTTCGAGACAGGTCTTGACCCTTGCTAAGTACCGGGTTCAGTTTTGGGTGCCACAGGATAAGAAAGACCTTGAGGGGCTGGAGTGGGTCCAGAGATGGGCAGTGAAGCTGGTGAGGGGTCTGGGGAACATGGCTTGTGAGGAGCAGCTGAGGGGAAACTTTATTGCTCTTGACAACTACTGCTCACTCCAGCTCCCTCAAAGGAGGCTGGAGTGAGGGGGGGGTTGGTCTCTTCTCCCAAGGAACCAACAATGGGATGATAGGAGATGGGCTGAAGTTGTGCCTGAGGAGGTTTTGACTGAATATTAGGAAGAATTTCTTTCCTGGCAGAGTGGTGAGGGGTTGGCTCTGGGGTGCTGGAGTCCCCATCCCTGGAGGGGTTCAGAAATCCTGTGGACGTGGCACTTGGGGACATGTTTTAGTGGCCATGGCGGCGTCGGGGGATGGTTGGACTTGAGATCTTTTCCTACCTTAGTGACTCCACGAATCCACGACGGGTCTGAAGGGTGGCATGCACCTATCACTGACAGTGCTCTCCCTTTGTTTTTGCAGACTCTTTCTCTGGCAGCAGCTGAGGCCCAGGGGTGCCCACCATGGATTTCCAGCACCGCCCAGGGGGTAAGACGGGCAGCGGGGGCGTCGCCTCCGCCTCCGAGAGCAACCGGGACCGCCGGGAGAGGCTCCGGCAGCTGGCCCTGGAGACCATCGACATCAACAAGGTGAGCCCGGGGCTGCTGGCTGCAGGCACCGCTTCTGCAGTGAGATGGCTCAAGGGGTGTGGGATTTACCCCAGAGTCGTGGACTGGAGGGAAATATTCTCTCTCTGGTGACGTGGGAGTCAAATGGGAAACGTTCCCGGCAGGGCGGAGCGTGGCGGTGCCAGCACTCGTGTGTGCCAGTGGCTGCTGGGGTGTTATTTTAGTCTTTTGGGGACTAGTTCTGCTGTTTGCTGCCTGCAGTGTCCCCAATGAACAAAGCTGCTGCTGTTTCTCCCTGTTTTCATACTCCTGAAGTAGTGTTGGGCTCTTAGTATAAATCTATGAACTCAGTTCTTCCAGTGCAGGAAAAATTGAGCAGCATTTCAGTTAGTCTGTTGGTTTACCACATACTTTGCTTGTAACTTTTTAATAATTCTCTTCTTAGGACCCTTATTTTATGAAAAATCACTTGGGCTCCTATGAATGCAAGCTTTGCCTAACGCTGCACAACAACGAGGTGAGTTGAATGTCTCTTGGTGTCCATCTCAGCAGCTTTCAGAGCCTGGGCCCTGCCCGAGTCTGGACAGCTGAGGAGACAGTGGGTGGGGAGAGGCTTGGGTCTGTTGAGCCTGACAGTTTGTGACAGAGCAGTCTGCAGGTTCTGAGTAAGATTCCCCTCTGCTAAGGATTAAAACAGCCTTGTCAATGTGTGACAAGTGTCTCTCAGTGTGGGTACAGTCCTGTCTGCATTTAATTTTCATAGAATCACAGTCTGGTTTGGGTGGGAAGGGACCATTAAAGCTCATCTGGTCCAACCCCCTGCAGGGACAGGGACATCCCCAACTAGAGCAGGGTGCTCAGAGCTTGGTCCAACCTCACCTGGAATGGTTCCAGGGATGGGGCAGCGACCACCTCTCTGGGCAACCTGGGCCAGGGGCTCACCACCCTAAGTGCCAATAATACCTTCCTTCTCTCTAGTCTAAATCTCACTCTTTTAAAGTTTCAAACCATCCCCCCTTATCCTGTCCGAACAGACCCTGCTAAAGTCTGTCCCCAGCTTTCTGCCAGGCCCCTGGCAGCCCCCAGCAGGTCTCCCCAGCTGGAGCCTTCTCCTCTCAGGCTGCCCCAGCCCAACTCTCTCCTGCTGGGCTCCCAGCAGAGGGGTTCCATCATTGTTGTGGCCTCCTCTGGTGTTACTCCAGTAGGTCCATGTCTCTCCTGTGCTGGTTCATTCTTCCTGATTCTCTTTGACCTTTTGTTTTTTTTGATTTCAGGGAAGTTACTTAGCACATACCCAGGGGAAGAAGCATCAGACCAATTTGTAAGTCCTTCTCTACTGTATCTTTGCTCTCCATTACCTGAGTGCTTTAAAATGATGCTTGTGTGCATCTATAAATCTCACACTCCATTATCCAGTAACCACACTGTGCTGGAGCATTCTGCTGTGCTTGTTCTGTGGTGAACAGCCTGGCCTCAGCCAGGAGGCACAAGCCAGACCTGCTCCAAGAAGTGGTGCTGACAAACTCCATTCTGAGCTCAAGTTCAAAGCCAGCTGTGGAATTTCTGAAGGAAGCAGAGGGGGAAA